CTGCCTCCAGTGTTTGTGTGGAGTTGCATGCTCTCCCCATGGTGCATCCAGTTCCCTCCTGCTGTCCAAAGACATGAAGGCTAACTAGAGTCTGTCAGTTGCTCATAATATATGGTTGTGGCTGCAGGCACCCTGTGATGCATTGGCTCCACACCTGAGGTGTGGGATGGGTTCCTGGGCCACCTGTGACCCCAACTAGGATAAGTGGTTGGAAGATGGGGAGCTCTCCAAAGAAAATATCATATCAAAACTATATAAATATACAAATAAATTAATATACAACTACATATATAGCAATTTGAACAGTGCAAACTTACAGGAAAAAAATGATCCACTCAATAAATGACGCTTTTTGCAATCAAAATGACAGCAAAATATTGAGGCTTTTTAAAATTAAGATTACAAGTGACAGAGGTAAACATCACTAAATATATGACAAAGTATTACGAACAGCATGATTTATAGGGCATGTGGTACTTCTCTGTAGTAAATTGCAGTTACCGTCTCACTTGGAATCCAAACTGCCAAATGCTCTTTTATTCGTAAAAAATTTTGGCTTGGCTATATATGAACCCCAACTTTCTGATCTCAGATATTCATTTGCTTGTAGGGGAAGGACATTTATCTTTAATATTCTGGGCCATTATTTTTTCCCCAGTCTTGGAGTAAAATCATAAATTATTCAACTTCTTAGCAGCATGCGACAAGGCACTGATAATTTAGATTTTATTCATGATCAAAAGGCTAAGCTTGATTTTTTTTTTTTGTCTTACAGAAAGATTATGAGCTAATAGGGAAAAAACAAACCATTTTCTTAAAGATAAAATGATTTTATTTTTTATTAAGGATTCCTTTGCCTAAGGTAAAAAAATGACAAGATCAAGGATATTCAGCCAGTATGTCCCATAAAAAAGGTGTATAAAAATAAAATATAACACTGGCACATGTTTGTTTTTAAAATGTTCAACGGGTAATGTTTCAAATATTGCAAAAAAAGTTAGTCATATCGGTACTAGTAATGACAATAAATGTAAAAAAACTGGTAGGTTGTTTATCTCAGGTTTTCCAGTGCTGATTGATTTATGGTGATAAAATGTATAAAAGAGCCCCCTCTCTTTAAAGAAATTTATGATAATGTCTTAAAGTGTTGCATGATAAAAGATAATTATGTTAATTTCAGCAGGCACATATAAGATAAAATTATGTATTTGTCTTAAATATACAAACATTTCCACCCACAGTCTTAAAAAAGCTTGCCTTTTTCTGCAAAGAAAAATTAACGAAGTATCATAACAAGGCAGCGATGGCTGAGTCACAATATTTATTTAGAAATGTCTCCATCTATTGGTGGTAAAGAGGTATTTCAACTTATCAAATTCTCGATAAAAGTAATGTTAAAAAACAAACATCTCAATGAATATTCGTTTGATCTCCATTATAATAAGACTTACAAATACTCATATTCATGTGAATTAAAGTGTGGGTTGTACAATCAAGATCATAAAATCTGGTTTGCAGAATGCATTGTCAAATTATTGCCTGTGTTCAGAAGCAGGTAAAAATATTGTATAAAGGCGATCAACTCTTGTGAAGAATATAGAGGTTATGCAAACATAAAGTGGTAGAGACTCACAGCACTAATTCCCAAGCAGGTAGATGATTTGTTTGACTGTGCAGCTTTTAATATCCATTCATTTTCTTTGTTTCCACAGATCCTGTCACATAGAGATCTCAACAGTTTCAGTCTCATACACCAACCGTAAGTGCAGTGCATGGGAAATACACAATTAAAAAAAAAAAAAAGTCACTACCTGGTAATCCTATACATAAATAAGTGACGTGTGTCACAGTGCAGAATTAGGAAGCTGTTTAACTCCATAAATAAAAACTCTTATGAAATGTGTCATGTGATGTGACCTTTACTGCGGATTATGAGGCAATCTGGTTTGTTACTTTCATGACAAAGAGTGTTTTGGGTAAACATTAAGGACAATTAAAACAATGGCATGTACAGTGGCAGTCAAAAGTTTGGACACACTAAGTTGGCTACAAAGGAGAGTGATAGAGTGTCACATCACATGACCTGGCCACCTGACCTAAACACAGTAGAAATGGCTTTGGAGGAGTTTGACCATAGAGTGAAGGAAAAGCGACCAATGAGTGCCCAGCATATATGCGGTATCTCCTTCAGGATAGCAGGAAAAGCATCCCAGGAGGCCATCTCATGAACCTGGCGTAGAGGAGGAAATAGGGACAGACTCTGAAGCAATTGGGGTTAAGGCCCTCGCTCATGGGCCCAATGGTGGGATCACTCTGCCAACCACAGGATTTGAACTTGCATCCTTCTGAGTCCCAACCAAGGGCGTAACTTTGGCTGGAACATTGGAGGGGTTGAGGTCTCCACCCATCACGGGGGAAACATGATTATTGGGGGGGGGGGGGTTGTATTAGCTGGTTTTGTTTTATTAGGGGGGGCTACATTTTCCCAAAACTGCATTTATGTACTTTATAAAGGCATGAACATGTTTTTGTACAGTCCTTTATCTAAACTGTTAACACTAAGGTTCATAAATTCTAAGTGGGTAAATACAGTATGCATCACTTCCATTATGTCCTTTGCAGAATAAACTGGAAAACAGGACAAGTACTGTATCTGATATTGAGATTTCTTGGGCTGCATGCCTGAGTGATTTTTTTTTACCATGAGTTAATGATCATTTTGCGAAACAAGGAAGTAACAAATGCTTCTTTGTTAACTGTTCAGGCAAAAGCTGATTGATTTTAAGTTGATTTTAAGGTCGACAGATTATGTATTGAGAGATAATATAAAACACGTGAGTTTCACCATGTGGCTCTTGTCTCTGTATGAGAAATTTGATTCTGCAACTCTGTCCATGGAGCTGAATCAAATGTATAAAAGACCCTTAAGAAATAAGCACCACTTTGTACTCATGCAAACCAGTTTTTTTGGTGTCTAGGAGTCTATGGCCTTTAAAATATGTGCAAACTTGGTGATAACTTTGTGTTAAAGTCAAGGTATTTTTACTCTTAGTTATTTGAAAGGAAATGTATGGTTAAATGTTTAATTTATAATATTTTAAGATTGTGATGCTTTTTTGTTTTAACTGACCTATGTGAACAGCACTGAAGAATTTAATTATATATCATTAGCTCGATAATGTGAAAAAGGTGAAAAATTAACATAGAGGATCATTGTAACTTCACACTTGAACTATATCCTCTGAAGAAGAACCAGGTAGTACAGAAAGGAAGGTATTTTTATACACAGTAGTTCCTGTTGAAATCCCAGGAGGGTCTCTACTTGAGCACTTCACCCCAATGTCTTTGTACTGTAAGTTGTTGAAGATAAAAGTCTCAGCAAGCAACTAGATGTAAAAAAGAATTCTGTTTTTTTTTTTTTTCCATGTAATATACAGTATGTGCAGATCCCTGGGATTATAGGAAGCGTACTGGGATCCAGTGGTGTGACACACCATGTGATACAGTCTCGTAACACTTTTAGAGTCAGAGGGTGAAAAGAGGCTTTTTCTTTCAGCCCATGTGTGTACAGAAATGATGTTTCGATCTGCAACACCTTGACTGTAATAAGAAACAGTGGCATTAAGAATGTAAGCCAAAGTGAGCATGTTGCCAATAGCAGGGGGAAGCAGATGGTCGCAACAGACAAACACAAACACAGAAGTGCGTCTGTGAGTACTAAGTTATAGGTTACGTAGTCATGTGTCCCTTGTGCTTGGAAGGGTGTTTACAGATACTTCCTGTTCTGACAGTTCTGGACCATCCAACTTTCGCTCCCTCTCATGTGTCTCTTCCATCTCTTTGCACCTGTTTTCAGTGTTCAGTATAAATAGCATCATGAATCACTTGAGCAGCCAGGCGAATCTGCAGGAAGCTCAGGGCATGCAGCATGCCGTGTTTGTGTCAAGGAGGTCCCCTCTAGCAGTGTCTTTGTGCAAGCGATAGGCCAAAACGTGGGTTTAGTCTTAGAACCAAAATGAAAACTCACACTATGCCACTACATTACCAGGATGTAGTATTTTACAAGGTATCGTGACATGGAGAAGGGGAGTCATCTTTTGTTCAAGTTATTGTGTGTACCTGTAAAGTCAGACTGTTAACATATCAGTTTAAAAAAACATATGTAGGCTTAATATTGAAGTGATTCCAGCAAGGGCTGAATTTTGACATGAGAGCAGTACAATGGCTTGTACTGATGATGTGTACTGTAGGTACAGGAAGTGTGGCAATTCTAGTGGTCTTGCTGTGGGGTCTTCATAGGAAGTCAGAAGAACGCTGCCGGAATAGCAGAGTAGAGTCACTGGTATCAGAATCAGAACTATTTTGGTGGGATGTATAGCTCATACATGCTCTTTTGGTACAGCAGTCACTGGGAGACGATTAAGCCCTAGTCAAGTCACCATGTTAGTATAAAATGACCAACCAATATGTACCTTTGTTTCTGTAATGGTTACCCTGTATCGATCCTCATGAGCATTTTTTTAGCTATATAATTTAAGTTAGTAATCTGGACAAAAGCATTGGCTAACTAATTACGAACCCAGTTAGCATTTGGCAAACTTATGTTTAAGAGAATAGGAGAGAAGTTTAGGGACTGGGACGTGTTTTTCTACCTATCTAACAATATAGAGCATACGTATGCTTTAATTTTTGCCTTATGTTTTAACATAAAATTTCTCTTTTCGCATGATACCCAAATAACATTAGATTGGCCAAAATATTTAATAATAATAATAATAATAATAATAATAATAAATGTATTACTATTTTACATACACACACACACACACACACCACTTTTAATTCAGGGAATACAGTGTGAAGTCGTATAAAAGATTCGTTCAAGACGGTTTAATACAAACTAGCTGTGTGAGAACTTTGAGATACTATACTAATTATTGTGAAATTTTCCTATCTGCTTTGCAGCGTTAAGTTGAAAAAGGAGAACTATTCGTTTTGTTTTCGGTTGCCAAAAGAGTGCCAGAGCAGACCATTAAGACAGTCATACAGGCTACTGCAAGGTTTCAAGATTCACTTAATTGTAGACTAACTGTAAAAACTATAGTGTCGTGTAACTACACAGAGGAAGTGCAGAGGAAATTTGATTAGCCTATGGGTAGGACTCGTGGTTATTGACTTGTAGGGTAACGCTTATTTCCAATAAAGCCGCCAGTAGTGGCATGAACGCCCATGCCAGCTCCAGCGCGGGGTGGGGCGGCTATAAGGAGCGGCGATCGCAGGGAGGCATCCAGGCTGCGCGACTCGTAAAAGATGGACAAGCTTAGTAAATTTACGGCTCCCGCATCGGAGAAAATCAGGTACGGCTGGATTAACATTCGTGGAATTTAATCAGAGTTATTTTCCTTTAAGTTTATATACTTTATATACTTAAGTTTATATCGCGATGTTCCTGTTTTCCGATGTTTGTCTTCTAAGTTGACGAATCCTTGATTGATGTTGTGAGAGTCACGTGAAAGAGTTGATTTAAAATAACAAAAGCAAGAAATACACTCTTTCCTTGTGTATTATAAGGAAAAGATTTGTTTTTAGACACATGAAAGAAAACGGTAATATTGTGTAACTTCGTGTTCTGCTTGTGTGAGTGCAGTATATTGGGTTAATAACATAACTAAACGTATACAGTGTTAGTTCAAAGCTCGTGGTATTTAGTCTTCAAATCTAAGTTGATATATATAAAAAATGTTTCAAAAGAGATATTAAATATATGTGCAATGTATGTAGAATATGGTAGTGTTGTAATTTGTATAAACGCAAAATAATTACCTTTGGGTATTGCCTGCAAGAGTCAACTTGGTATAATTATGTGTTTAAGCTCTCTGTGTCTGCAGTTAAATGTTCTGTCAACAGAACCAACCACCTTTCCAAATTTATATATTAAAAATGTGTGATATTCTTATCAGCATTATATTTACAATAAGCGGTTATTACTTTTTTATCTATGTTTTGTTTGCGTAGATACAAAGACATACAGTAAACATACTCAGTATTTTGGTTTAAAAAGTACTGAGCAAAACTGGCAACATAGAACCTGCTATGAGAAATGTAATATATCAGATGTTGCTTCATGATGTTTTCTTAACCGTTTGAAAGTTATCAGCAGTTGTTCTTCAAAGGGAAAGGTTCAATTTGAGACGTAAATGCTATACACCCAAAGGGAATCTTTTTATTAACGCATGGCCACGTTTAATTGTCAAATTATGTGTCTTTCAGGCAGCTTCAAAAGATGGTCCAGGACATAAAGAAAAATGATGGAAGCATCATTAACAGACTGAAGAAGTAAGTTTTGGTGAATTCCATTGTGTGCGGAGACTTTAGGTTTGTGGTTTGCTGGGTTAGGCATCTGTGCCTCTGATCAGAAGGCTGTTGGTTCAAGTCCCATAATCGGCAGAGTAGTCGCATTGTTGAGTACTTGCACAAGACCCTTCACCCTGGGAAAATACTCCAGAGGCCCTATATAAATAGTGGAACCCTATATACACATTTCTCTTTGTGTGTGTATAGATTATGTTTTTATTACATTGTGATGACCAAATGTCTGTTATTTTGACATTGTGGGGAGTTTTCAGTTTCCCACAAAGATCTGTGAATGCAATCAAAAAATTAAAAATGCCCAAAGTTTCATATCTAGTTTGGTTACACATAGTTAAGATTAGGGCTGGGTAAGGGTTAGGGTTGTCATTTTTGGGATTAGGAATGAAATGAAATGAATAGAAATAGAAATGAATGGAGAATCTCCACAAAGATAAATTGACAAACGTGTGTGTGTGTGTGCGTGCACGTGTGCGCGTGTTTGCCTCAAAAAAAGACAGCAAGATGATTCATGTGAAAATGAATGAATTCTGGTGGCCAAGTATTATTTCAATTATCACTCAACTAGTTTGATTATCCCTTTAGAAGAACTAGATAATCTGGAAATGAAAAATATAAGCTAGTTACTTTTATCCTGAACCAACCAGCCTTGGTTTATTTGTTGCTGAAAAAAAGTTCCATGAGTTTGGACTTATTTAAAACATATTATGGACATTTTACTTTGTGAGGTCATTGTGAATGCTACTTTGTATGTGAGTTTTAGTTGTAGATGTTTCTGGAATTTCAAGAAGAGAAAACTAGAAGATAGAAGACAAGATGAAACCTGTCGAGGAGTAATTCCTCTTTTCTCATAATTATCACCTGATATTGCAGATGTCTGTTACATAGTGAAACTGGAGCAACTGAAAATAGATGCAGAGAAATGTTGACAGACTGAATATTTTCCAGTCTTACATTCTGTTGTGTTAGTGGGGATGAGAAGCTTATAGTACTCAATCAGGAAGGAGTATTTGTGTGATGTTTAAAACTACATACTGTAGACATTTGGGATATTATAGAATATTGCACTTCCAAATATAATTTCACCCATTCTTTATTCAATATATAGGTTTCAAAATGAGCAAGCGGCTTTCATTCGGAAAACGGGGAGAAGTACATGGGACCGGTATGATCAGACTTGGCTCACATTATACAGAACTGTCTTCTCCCTGCCTAATCTGTCCTAATTGATTGTTGTAATTTCCCATGATTAAGTGCTAGACAGCACCTGGCACGTGTCTAGCCCGAATACTACAGTCTGATTCCAGGATTTTGAAACACAGACACTGTGTGTCATAATGGATGACAAAACTACAGAGTCATCATTCTTATGAACAGGCCACAATATCTGCTTCCTCGATAAGTGTTTGTACAGCAAATAGTGCAGCACATTTTGGCATAGATGCCATTAATCAAAAACTGTTCAAAGGTAGGGGAAAAAATCCTACACTTGAAAATTAATTGACTGGCTGTTGTTTAACAAAAGGATACCTGTGGGGCATTATGTAGCTGGTTCAGTGCCATAACCAAAATGATACAATGTAGGCTATAATACTGACCCTAGAGTAAACATTCCAAATGATTTAATGATGTAATCTCCAGCCAATAAAAGGGAAGCAGAATGTGTTACAGTCATGAAGGGAAATGATATTGTATACTTCAGGTGTAGATCATCAACTAGCATTCCAGTGACAGAGAGTAGAATCAAAGAAGGAAGGAATCAACATTCTTAGCAGTGTAGCGACTAACAATAGTTATGCAAATGTAAAATGCTATAGCGAGATATTTACTGTAATGTAGAAGTAGTCTTTCTGTGTGAACAACAACATGGTATTGTGTAATATACATCATTTACATTAGTTGGTATGTAGCCAAAAAAAGTTCTGGTTTAGCTTTTCTGAACATGTCTTTAGAAAATTAATAGCGTTTTTAGATGGTTTTCACTTTCACTGGCACTTGCACTTCTAATGGGAAATAGCAATCCAGCATACTTTATATTTGCCAGTTAAACCTATTTAAAAAAATTGACAGCAATAAGATATGATCCCATGAATCCTTATACCTGGTCATTATCTGCCCTCATATTTCCAGGATGCCATCCTCATTCATAAATAAATGATTTAATATATCAGTGAACAATATCTGTGTTTCATGTGGTCTGCTGTCCTCATAATCTATGACTGCCACAAAATGGAAACATGTAACAAGGTCTAATTCATTATTATAAATGTATCTTTTAAATGCAGATTAAAAACTAAACGGCCACCAAGGATACCAAACAGAGACTATAATCAAGGTGAGACACTTGAAACAGCAAACAGTATTATTGTTCTACTGGTCTTAATACATGTACAATACAGCTTGCATCATTTTTGCGCTCAATATTCAGAAGAATTATCACATTTGTCTTTTTTTTTCCAAAATTGCATTTAAGCAAACAAAACATAACAAGCCTAGATAACAAAAACTTGTTTCCAGTTTTATTTTTATTCAAGAATTATTTTTTGAATAACATGGAAACTGCTAAGAAGCATTAGCTAAATTAGTTGTCAGTGCACAGTGCTGTGTTAAAATGTAATGCTTATTGTTTTGTTTGTCTGCTGCAAATTGTAGATGACAATCCAGAGGAAGCTCAGTCATCAGGATCAGAGTTTGTAAGTTTATGTCCATTTCTGAATATGACTATATTATTCACAGAAATATAGTGCCACATGCATACATTACATTCCTACAGTCCCTCATTACAGAAGAAACTAAGGCGCAATGGCTTTGTAAATCCAGCAAACATTTTCAAGCAACATTAGCTGCAAAATGCAGCATGAGTTACAAAATGAAATCATAAAGAGGATGCACTCAAAAAACATCACATACATATAATATGAATGCCATGTCTATAATAATCTATGAACACATTCATAGCACATTATGATGCATTCATGAACCATTATAAACATGAATATAGATACAGTCGTCCCTCGCCATTTCGCGCTTCGACTTTCGCGGCTTCACTCTATCGCGGTTTTTTCAAATACATTTATTCATTAAAAAGTTGATAGACAGTGAAAATGATACAGCATGCGCTCGATTGTCTGAGTCAATTATACACCTAAATTACAATTAAAATTAAAATTACTGTACGTATGGACTGTACTGTATTCGAGCACCCCCGCAAATCCTTCAACGCCAGGTGCAGCCGAATAATAAAGAAATAAAGAATCCTACTTCGCATAAATTCATGTCTGGAACGGATTAACCGCGATAAACGAGGGACTGTATTTATAAAAAGGCACACATTATAGCCATGTTTGTCATACATTATGAATGCTTTATGAAGCTCTAATCTGTAATGTACTGTAGATACCTTCTTCATGCAGTGCATCCTTAATTTTTATCCAGACCATTATAATGCATTATGAAGGTATTATATTGCATTATAGACGAGAGCTTATGGGGTATTATAGTCAACACTATAAACTATGACTGTGAAAAGAAGATGTTGTAATGCTTTCTTAATTCTTATACTGACCTTATCTGTTTATGACAGTTCTATGGAAACAAAAACAAAATGGTTATTTCCATCTTCAAGGCTTGAGTGTTAAAATGGGAGATAAACTTCACCCACAATCTTTCAATGCAAACATAACAAAGCAAATATACCTACTTTTAGTCTATAATCATTAAGCTCTTTCTGGTTGTTACTTGAAGAACAATATGGGAAACATTTTGTTAAATGTCTTTGCTCGGAGTCAGGGTATGAAATCAGTTAATATGAAAATGGTCAGGGAATGTATAAGTTTGAGTAGAAAATGAAACTATAGTTTAATTGAAACATGTCTAATTTTGAAGAGGCTGCAGATGTGATATATAAGAACAAGACTGAATTGCACACAGTCCCTGTGGTTTGTGGGCAGGGAAGTTATTTTCAGGTGCTGAACGCCAGCAGTGCTGATGCTTGTGGTCTTTGCAGGACAGTGACACATATGAGGACCCACTGGAGAACCAAGATGACAGTTATGAACCTCCACCCTCTGAGATCTCCAAGAGAACATTCTTGTCAGCCTCACCTCCATATTTCCCAAAGGGGGAATACTTGGGTAAATGGGTCGCACGCCCCCAAAAGTTTAAACACAAGCAAGGATGCCATTAGAGATTTTGGGCCCCATGAAAGCATGACATACTCGGTCCCCAACACAGACCATGGGTAACACTTTACTTGACAAGGCACAACTGATATTACTTAAGTATTAATTAACCACAAACTAAGTCTTAGTTACATATTGATCTCATGTTAATTCATCAATCATCAATCGTGACACGTGTTTTATCTCTAGCAGTTACTGTGTTTGCTACTATATCTAATTCTGTAAACATTTGTGAACTACTGAAGGAACTACTGAAAGACCAAGTAATGAATAACACTAGTGAAATACTGATCTCATGTTTGTTCATCATTAATGAATTGTGATCTATCTGATCTCAAGTAGCAACTATATTTGTTCATGATTTGTTCATAATTTGTACTTAAGTAGTAACTGAGTTATTACTAAGTATTTGTGTTCCGTCAAGTAAACCGTTACCCAATTATGTTCCAGATTTTTTCAGGGGCCTTGGAATTTCCCCTCTAAACACCAACCCTGAACATGAAACTAAACCACCCACCACTGTTCAATTTAGAAGCAGGCACAGTCCTCTCCATTCCCTTTAATTTAATGATCTTTGACATATATCACTAAACGAATGTGATAAATTCAGTGGTAATGTGGTAATTCAGCCATACTGTTGTAACAATCATACAGCATTTCAGCAATGCACTTGCTACACTGCGTGTCATGCAGTGGTGAATGGTAGGGCCACTCATTCAAAGCCCTCAGCCTGGACACATTTGATCAATTTGGTTTGTTACTGACTTTGTAATGATCACAAATAACAGATTGACAACTTTCTTAGATTAGCTAGCTATATATACTATATATGTACTATATGATGTTTAAAATGCTGATATTGGATGTTTAAAAAGTTCTGCTTTCTCTGTACTCCAGACAGCCGAGACAGTCGCCGTGGCAGGACAGGCCAGCCCACTCGGAAAAGCCATCCAGCTCATGTGATCGAGAGCGATGTAAGTAAACTGCTTTTCCTCTTTTCATTGTTGAAATATTAGATATTATATCTCTATATTCATGTATATTTCAACCAGCGTAATGCTTTGCACTGAAATTCTGTGCAAATGTGGTATGTCTTGGTCTTATTTATATATTCTGTGCAGGGTCACTGAGAATTTCAGGAAGTAATAGGGTGACTAATGTTGCCAATTTATAGTTAAACTGGCAACTGAAATTTCCTGCTATATGAAATTTGCTGAACTACATGCTTGGTATTGCAATTCTTTCACATTTGGTGAATTAATTTTGTATTGATTTTCAAAATACTATATACAGAATACAAATATTAACAAAAAAATATAAAAAGATATTAAATAAGTTTTATTTGTATCATTCTATATTAACTACATAACTATCATATAATTTAATATAAACAGTTTTATTATAATAATATAACTGTATTTAATAAAATATGCTACCTGGATTCACATTATTTGGTTCTAGATATCCTTGCTGTTGAATTACAAAGATTTGTGCAGGGTGAAAAATTCTTTGCTGATAACATTTTTTGTAAGCCCAAGAATTAGAGTGCTGCACTAAAACATTCATTTCACGTAGTAATAAACTGAAACCCAAATTATAACTCTAAATTGGCACTCTGAGTTAAGCTGTTCTGACTTAAAAAGAGGCAAGTTCTAGTCATGAATTTCACATTTAAATAAAAATGCAATGCAATAAAAACACAATACCTGAACTTTGCCATTATACCATTTCATAGAATTTCACAAATAATACCTGATTTACACTGTCATATTTACAAAACTGTACATAAGCTGGAAAACAATTTGATATACATACATTAACACATTTACCGAAATAAAATGTACCTCATTCAACAGCTTTAATTTGTTTACCCATGAGAATGGACTCATGCAACTGAACACAACTAAAAAAAAAGCATTTGTCTATCCAGGAGGACTATATTAAACCAGAGGATGAAGATGATAATTACATTGATCCAACAGCAAATGCTGTTTCAGGTAAGAGACTGGGGTGGGTAAAGGAAAGCTAAGAAGAGTTTTATGTTCAGTTCATATCAGTGAGATATACTGAGAAGTGTAGACTGATTTCCATCTATGGAATGCTAACATCTCCCTACATGTATTTTAAGAATGAAAAATTGCACCTACCCACTGAACAGTCTCAGTGAAGCGATTGAATATGAATTAGAAACATGCATGAAATGCACTGTCCTCCCTGCAGACATCCATAGAGCTAAAACAAAGGTACAGAACCACTCAGTCATCACTGAAGCAGGTGACCGGTCGCACAGCCCAGGTATGTGTAACTCAATGACAGTCTGTACAGCTTCTGTAACTGGTCAGCAATAAATTAGCCCAGCATTTGGTATAAAACTGCGAATGTCTGTTGTCAAGGAAATACAGATGCATATTTTAGAGATTCACTAACACTAAATCTAATCAGAACTGATAATAATGTTCCACAGATTAATGAAACCATACACGTTTGCAAAGCCAGATCTTTTACTGTCTTTCTTTTTCATTATTCAATTACACAGATGTGTATGAAGTACCGGATGTAGAGGTGGGTTTCCCTGTTGGATTTTATGATCCATTTTAAATGACAGACAGAGGATATAAAACTATATCCTCCTGAGACCCAAGGAAAAAAGTGTCCTTCAATTTTAGGTTATTTGTCTTTGGAGGAAATAAGACATCTTACAATTTTTCAAATTTATTTTCATTTTTAATTTCACAGCATGCCCTCTTTAGTGTACAACAAGAATAAATATGTTTCCTTACATCAGTGAAAAGATAGATGCAAAAACAAAATGTCCACTACAATGGACATAAATGAATGGGTGGGGTCTCAGGAGGTTATGAAACAGGAGTGCAATAATAATGCAAAAAGCACAAAAAACAGACATTAATATATAAACAAACAAATTGTATCGTAGAGCTGCTGATTATTATATGTATGGTTTTACTTAACCTGGTCATTGACTGTGTAGACACTGACACAGAATACTGTCCAATACAGTTTGGGCCTGTAGGGAGGCATAATCCAATCTTGTGCTGTGATTCTTGTGCTGTGAGTCAGAGCTTGGAATGACATCACACTCAAGTTAACTGCGTTCCAGTACAAAGTCGGAAAGCCATTTAACTAAACCAGTTCTAGCCAGATTGATTGTTGGCCATTGTTAGCAATACCAGTTAATAACAATGCGTTATGTGGTATTTTGCACATACGAAAACGGTAGCAACATTCCCCCAGATAGAGCTTGAACAGTACTGTGTGTATGACTGATTTAATGTCACGCAAATAAGACAGAATTGCAAATAAACAGTGCATAACTACAGCTATCATTTCTGTTGATGATGGGAGCAGCCATCTTGAATTCTGAGGTCGGGCTTGTAGAGGTTCCTCCGACTTTCCAAGTGGGAAATCTAACTTCAGGGGGCGTTCCAGTTTAAATTTCAACTTCATAGTTCGAATGGAAGGCAGCATAATAGCCACTAGTAAAAAGTGAAGAGGCTTCAGGTCAATCCTGACAAAAGGCCTGAGCTGTTAGCAAACTTTCAAGGGTTTTCATGATATATGATGTCAAAGCTAATCCTTATGCACATTGGGCAGACTGTACAATGCAAAAAGTCTTCCACAGGTCCAAGCTCAAATAAAGGGTTCTGACACTATTAAATTAGGGTGACCAGATAATCCATGTCAGGGAGGACACTCTGAGCTAGGACAGGAATTGTAAATTACCATTTCAATTAAAAGGACCTGGATTTCACTTGAGCACTGAGCTCTTGCTGTGTGCTGATTGGTCAGTCTCCTATAATCATGCATGTGTCACTAATGCTAATGTGAAACAGCTGGATGAGTCTTTCAGTCAAGGAAACAAACCAGTCAAAGCACAAGAAGAGCTGAACTATTTAGCCGAGCACAGGAGCCTTTCAATTTGAAAGTAGTTTGTAAAACCCGAAGTAGCTCAAAGTGTCCTCCCTGACATGGATTATATGGTCACCCTATATTAAATAGCTCACGGGTTGTAGCTTTCTAGTTTGGTCTTTATATAGTCCACAATGATGCACGTTCTTTGGTAATGAGCAGGGCTTGAGGTTACAAAGTATAGGTATGTTGTCTGAGAGGTAGAAGGAGGGAGATGGGGCTGGTTTACACTTACTGCCAATGTACCATAGTCACAGAGCATATAGACCATGTTTCAGTCCTATGTCGGTGACTCCAGCTTTGCAAGGACTGCTTTGTTATTTCACTAAGCTTCTTTTTAACTATGTCTTTACACCCTTAACCGCCCCCTTATGTCCAGACCAGAATGCCCTCTTCTTCCTCAGTCCTTCACAAATCTGATCCTAGTATAATGCTACACTAGAAGACTTTGAAAAGCCTCTGAAAAAAACTTTTTAAAGACTGAAGTCTGACACCCTCTTACATATGAAGACAATGTGTCATTAGTCACAGAGTTTTTATTTTTGTCAACGACTATGATTTTGCAAAGACTGGAGATCTTGCAGGTCATCAGTTGCAAGATAGCAACTACATTCCTTTGAGATTGTTTCTCATCATGCTCCTGGTGGAAATTTACAGGAACAGGAAAACAGATAGAGTAGCAGTTTTTGGCCACAGCTGCTTCTGTGTGTGCAATGGTTTGCGGTAATAAAACAGTGAAAGAAAGAAAAGACACTGAAGAATACGGACACAACCTTGGTTGAGGGAATAGATTTCATTTTATATATTACGTATTTCATTATTTTCCGTGTTATAATTCTATGTCATTAGAGTGGTTCAATTTTACATAAATTTCAGTTATTTGCTTTATACTTTATAGTGCAGTAATTTGTAACCATTTTGTTGCTTCCTGTTTGGTGCTTAGTGGTTGTTGACAATATCTATGTTACTATTTGCATGAGTCAGGACTAAAGACCTATGAAAATATTAAACACTTATGATTTTATTGGAACGTCAAGACGTGAAAAAGAGTGACTTAAGACAGCTATCCTGACCGTGTTACACCATGTTAAACGATTGCGATGACAAGAGCATGCCACAACTCTATGGAAACCCTCATGATTTCATGCTGATATTGGAAATTTGTCTGTGACAGTGAAATCCTTTGAAATGTCATTTGGTTTAATAGGTACAATAGACATTGTGGGTCATTACTGTGTAATTGTAATATCACCTGTTCTGTTTTGTAATATTATACCTGTTTTTTTTTTTTTGGAGGAAAAGGAAATGTGCACATTAAAGACCAGGTCAGTATTAATTAAACAAAATGCAATGAGTAAAAGCAGAGCTGGGCAATTCTAGTAGAGTATTTAAATAATGTCTCTGGTCACCTGACTGGGATAAATGGTGGACAATGGATGGATGGCTGGATAAACAGTTCCTGATTAATATCTGAAGCATCAAGGTGATATAACTTTATATTTCATCGGTTCAGACTGAGCTAAACCCCACACACACTGTAATTTTGATGTGTCAGCCTACTGTAGGTAGGCTCAGTGGGTTAAGCCTGTGTGCTTGTAATCACAAGGTTGCAGGTTCAAACCCAGCCTCCGCATGTCTGTGGCTCCTTCAGCAAGGCCCTTAACCCCTCTATTCTGGACTTCTAGTCAGTTTAGCTCAAAAAATGGGGTAACTATGTCTTGTATTGTATAAAGAAAGTAATTTGCAAGGAATGTATCAGAGGATTGTGGCTTTTGGTGCAACCAGACTAGCATGTGGGGGATTGCAGATAAAGGGTTTAATCAGGATTAAAAAGGGTGCTTTAAAATTGGGGAAATGTATTAACAGTCCTTGGATACACCAAAAACGTATGCATTTAAATTTTAAGCATGAAAACAGGAATCTTGCTTTGGAATCTTGCAAGGAATCTTGCTTTGGTTAATGATAACCATTTATTTACTACTTGATACTATGTTTACATACTTTACTGATATGTAAATTAATGTTAAATAAATTATATATTCCATACAAAATTTTATTTACAACAGTAAACAGTAAGATAAAATAAGAACAATGTGTCATACGCCATTTCACAATAGTGTATTTTTTCTGTTTTCAATAACCAAGAAACCGTACTGCAAGTGTCCCACCTGTGGCCAGCCCAAGGTATGACAGGCTTTGCAATGTCATGTGGAAAACAATGACCTAGTCATTACCTAGTCCTAGTACACACATTGCTGTGACAATTTATATTGGACATTGAATATTTATTCTGTATTTCATTTTTTATTTTTAGAGATATATCAGTTACTATTCTATTGTGGATAAAGGCTACATGTAGGTTATATTTTTACACAATTTGCTAGTGTTGTGTTTCAGATGAGATGTGCCCAGTACATATAATGGCTTAATTTAGACATAATTTGAATAATTTGAGTATGTCTAATATATTTTGACCTGATGTAATAGATGTGTAAGCATTTAACTCTGAATTTCATTAGTAAAAAAAAATCCTTTGAAACATTAAACAATTGTTTTCCACTTTCTCCCTCAAGAATGCTTTTAAAGAACAAGCCCACAAGTCCAGTAAGTGAAGGAGATGCGCTTCTGCACAACATATGAGCAAATTTATTCAAAATACATCGTGCGATCAGAGTATTGAATATTAATTGCATTTGATCTGTTCACAGTTTTTAAATACTTGTGGTTTTTAACTACCCCTAAGTACACCCTGCCATTGCAAATGTTATTTGTAATGTGCCATTTTTCCCTCAGGAATCATTGGACGAGGATGAATATGAAGTCTGTGACGCAGCTGAACGTATGTTGATACAAATACAAAAGGACACTATGTCCATCTTTATGGCCTTAGTTGAATTATTTGCACACTCAAACCAGTTGGTTGTAAAATCTTACGTTCAAGTGTGCAGCTTTGATAAGATCAATGTATTTTTCCTGTCAGAAATATCCTAATTTAAGAGCTATCCTGTAATTCATAGGAGATACAGAAACAAATTCCTCACCGCGCAATAAATTTGTGAAGCAGGACGAGCCCATTTTGGCATCAACCAAAGCTCCGATTCCACGGCCCAGGGAACAGTCAGTGACATCTTGTTCTGTGATATTCTCATATTCTCTGTGAATTAATTAGATTATCAGGTAATAAAGTGATATACTTCTCAGATCAATCTTCTATCTTTTTTTTACAGAAAGAAACCAAATATCCCACTCAAGCCGGTAGTATTGCTGTCTGCTCAATACCACTATAAATAAATTTGTACACTAAATATGATAAATTAATATTTTTTTTTGTCTTTTGGCAGAAATTATTAACATCTGATGCAGAGAGTGAAGGTAAAAATAGAATTTAGAATCTGATTATAGCAAACATTTGTAAACTCCAGTTCTTCTGCAAATGGTTAAACATACTTCAGTTTCACATCCTGCATGGTAGCCTACTTTCTTTGACCATATACAACTTGTACATATTGTTTGACTGTGTTTACCCAGATAAATTATGTGACATGTTCCGTCATATGTTGCTAATCCATAGACAGACCCGTGGTGAATGTCCAGCCCTCCTTGGCTGCATGTCCATCATCTAACGTCACACTAAAAAGGTAATTTGCTGAAAGCGTGTCATATCCTCCAGATTCATCTTTGTCCTTTGTAAAGGACATTATGTTATTGCTCATATCACACAAGCTATACATGCCACTCTATTAGGTGGTATTATTCTTAAAAGAGGACAGTTAAGGCTTTAAGATGGCATCACATGCGGGGGTGTGGCTTTGCCAATCTCCTCTTCCTGCCAAACCAAAAGTCAGTGTTTTTTTAAAAAAAAAACTTTTTTCCCTGGATCTCAGGAGGAAACAAAAAGTGTGTAACACGCTTTATCACTTTTTATCAGCATTCATCCTGTCATCAGAAGCAGTACCATCAACCTGTCTGCCATCAGCTGCCTACCATACACAATTAGGATATTAAAATTTGGACTGTAAATTATTATATTGCCATTGTGTTCTTTTGACTCTGCCGGTGTTTGACTTTTCCCATGGTCTCACCCTTTGAGTTTGGAACCTCCAAAGGTTTCATCCTTTTAGGAAATTTTCCTTGCCACTGTCTCCTCTGGCTTGCTCACTGGGAGCTTTATGCAGGGATAAAGTAAAGTACTTTGAGACAATGTAATGTTGTGAAAATGTGCGAATTGAATTGAACTGAAATGAACTGAGTTTAATTAAATTGAACCTTACTGAATTGAATTGAATTGAATTGAATTGAATTGAATCAGATCTTGGCCTTAACAGAAGTAAGTCAGAATCCACTGGCTAATCCCTTTCTTTCCATAGGTCTGGCTTATCGCAGGAGAGTGCCTCTCACAGTAAGTAAAGTGACTAAGCCCAGATGCAGTGTGACCTGTTTCTTGACTTCTGCCACCGTAGTTGGTCTCTACATATTTGCACTGAGTTTCAAATTAGTTTGAGTTGTTTGAGTTTGAGTTGTTGGAGTCCTGTGTTTCCTCTGCATCAGCATTCTTCGTAAACAGAGGGAACATGCCCCTACCCCAAAGAAGGTCCAGCACAGAAGAAAAGGTGAGCTTTGCAACCCTCTTATGGCTTTGTACCTTTACCCAACAGTCGTACATCACCTTGGTAAAAGGTCATAGCAAGCATTGTTGTATCAACTATATCTTTGGTGATGCTACTTTGCCGCCTGCTCTACCGCCTCAGCCCAGATAACAATGTGACTTCAATCGCTCCTTTGGCTTTATTCTCAATGTCTGCCTTATTTAATTGAAAGTTAAAGAATAAAGTGGCTGAAAATGTAACACAATAAAACGTATGTGTCATTGGAATGTAGTTTTCTATGTACCAACCAGTGGTGCAGCATGTAAGTTAGTAGAGTACCATTCTGGTTTTGTATGGTTCTTCTACACATTTCCATGGCATATTCTACGAACAAATGCATTCAGTTTTGCATAGTTCTCACTTGAATATGATATGCTCATATAAATTCACATAAGAAAAGTCACAATTTCGTGATCAGAAACATTGAATGCATGGCCACAATACAAAACTTTCACAGCTTGACACAGACAGGTGTGGTAAAAGTGACCTTTGTCATCTCAGGATGCAGGTGTCTACCAGAAAGCCTGGTATGCAGGAGCATGCGATCGCAAAACAGCAGAAGACGCATTGACGCACACAAATAAGGTAGAGGTGGTTCAGTCTAAGAAGAATTATATTATTAATTTACATGCATAAAAAGAAAAGGTACAAAGCTGCATTCTGAGGACATCTATAACTACAAGGTCGTTAGGTAACCCTTTACTTGAGGGGCACAAATAGCTTAGTTAATCAGTTACCACTCAAGAACAAATCATTAACTAATATAGTTCCTGCATGAAATATATGATCCATCATGATTCATTAATGGTGGACAATCATGGGATCAGTACGTAACCAACACTTAGTTACTAGTTAATTAATGCATTAAATAAGCATGTACTACTACATTATTTGTGCCCCTTCAAGTGTTAATAGTTGTCATGACTAAACAATTACTTGCATTTAGGTGATTCTTCTAGTTTTATATGCGTATGGCAGAAAAGATTTGTAGTCGAATTTGTAAACTGGGAAATGACATTGTGGATTGAGATTTTCCATAATATCACTGTTCAAATCTGAGTTGTAATGATATGATATTGTCATTCCAGGATGGGTGCTTCCTAGTGAGAAAGAGTTCTGGCCAGGATGCTCAACAGCCATACACTCTGGTGGTATTCTATAAACGGAGAGTCTACAATATCCCAGTACGATTTATACCGTCTACACGCCACTATGCTCTGGGAAGAGAAAAGAAAGGGGAGGAGGTAAGAAGATCATTCAAATTTACTGAATTTATATGAAGGACGTTTGGGAGATGCTGTTAATATCTGTTAATAAAGAATAGAAACAAATGCTCCATTGCGGCAAATGTCATGTCTAGTGTGCCTCTCTTCTGCTTGATAAATTGAATCGCAAAAAATTCTGGCTACTATATGTGGCTATACTTCTTCAGACGTGTCAAGCAGCAGAGAAACCACACAAATATGTGAAGAATACAGATTTAATTAAACAGAACATGAGAATGGCAAATTCAAACATAGCATATTTACAGTTAATAAAGTATTTGGAAAAAAATTATATTTGTATCGAAAGCAGAAATAATAGGAATCGACTCTTGGTTTTTACATTACAATGAAAAAAATGACCCTGTTCTCTCTGTCTTCCACTGCTAGCGCTTCAGCAGTGTCAGCAGCATCATTGAAAACCACCAGAAGAATGCACTAGTTCTGATTGACAGCCAAAGTAACACCAAGGACAGCACCAAACTCAGCTATGCTGTCAAACCCTGAAAAGGCAGAGGCCCTGATCACTGGACAAGTGCTTAAGTGAAATAAGCACTGTGGAAGTTTTTAAAACCAGAAAAGTCTATACTCTGGGAAACAGAAAACAGGCACATGTCCAATGTCTTAAATTCTGGAAAAACATGGAAAATAAATTAGTTGCTGAAACATCAATGAGACAAAACCTTTGTCTTGCACATCGGTCTGCTCTGTTTCAGTTGAATCTCACTAAAAAAAATTATGTCTGTACATATGTAGAGGAATCATTTTGGAAGAAACTGTCATGTTGGTCCCTCATTAGCAAAAAATATTCAGACCTGCTCAATGTACAGGTGCACAGTTGTTACAAACTTTCCAAAGTTTGATAAAAAAAATGCAGTCTTTATATTTGGTTTGAGTACAAATGTCAAAATGAATGGGTTGCTGTATAAGTGAAGTGTACAATCTAGAAATAGTAGAATTTGAGATAGTGTAAAACAAACATATTCAAATAAATATAAGGCATACTTTGGCTTAAATGTACAAAACATAATATCTAAACAAGCAAAAACATTACAGAACAAAGACAACGGAAATATAGGTTGCCGTATTCTCAAAGTATTTACATTTATTACAAATCTGTTTAAACACATGAATGCCACCTGGGATTTATACAGTACAATATAGTGTCAATCTGTAACAGAGCTTTTCAGGCACTTTGTGTAAAAAAAATAGATTTATTTTCATACAGCTTTATGGAACCCATCACCCAGATGTAAAGAATAAAGTTACAAAGAGTGATTTATTTTTCTTAAGCAACGAAAAATATAAATGCTATTTGGTTATCCAGTGCTCCGCTGTATAAAGGGTGTCAGGTCATGTGACCAGACATAGTATTACTTAGTATTACTTCATTTACAGTCTGACATGTTTGGAGTGGCAATGCAATGCGCAAGTAATAAATTAGCTTTACAGCTATGGAAATGACAACGAAAACAGAAATGTCTTCTCAGTCCCAAAATCTGTTATTTGAAATGACACTTCCAGTCGGCAATACTCCTGACTGAACTATTAATATGTTCTTAAAGAAATGAACATGACTTTGAAGGGAACCCCATATTTACAAACATGCATAACAAGATGTGATAAATATACTATGTTTGGTGAAATACTGTTATTTTTCCAAGGGCAAAAAAGTTATATATAGGCTGTTCCTGCACTGAAGCTGAAAATTGGAGGGATTTTAATTTCAGATTTATAAAATTTATTAGGCATACCAAATACCACATGCCAAGTTATATACATCAATTTGTTCCATAAGTCAAAAATGTTCAGAAGTATAAAAATGTGTTATATAATTATTAATTGTTCGAATTTCAAATCACCTGGTGAAATCAAGCTAATTGGAAAATGCGAATAAAACTGAGGGAGTCTGGTGAAGTTATGCATTAATATGAGAAGCATAGGCAACTGTCTTGCATGTGTTCAATATTTGTACATATTATTATGCTCTTGAATTCTTTTGCAGATACATATGATGAAGAATGTTCATTATAAATGCATGGTTTGACAAACGATTTGGGATAAATGACTATTACACTCCAGTAATTATAACTGACAGTTATAATTACTGGAGATAAGTAAAGCATCATCTGAATTAAGTGTGGGGAATAAAAAAAAAAACATGAAACATTGTACTGCTGCAAAACGGACTGTAGAATGTAACAGCTTTTGAAAATTATTTCCACAGGAATCTTGTTACACATACAGGATATCTGCATTTCAAATATAGAGAACCTATTAGTAGGAATATACCCGTAAACTCTGTTAGCTTGTTATGTTCAGAATTCCTGACAATATGCCAGAAATATAAACTAAAGAATAATATACAACTATAATGCAACAATGCCGTTTTGACAAACTAAATGAAGCTATTTTACAGGGATTAAAAAAAAACTGAAAATAAACATGAATGAATCCCATGCTTCCCTGAAAGAAAAGCTTTTGAAACATTAATGATTAAAGGTGAGAATAGAAATCACTCAATGTTACAAAGTTGGATTACTGATTTCAAGGGGAAAAAATAAAGTCACCTGAGTTCAACTGTATGTATATTATACAGTTGTCACACAAGTAAAATGCTAAAATGCTACTGAACTTCTGAGCAAATATACCATGTTATCATTCATATTCGAAACCATCATTTGGCCAGTACAGAAACACTTCCACGTTTAACATCACTGTGCATGTGTTCATTTCTTCCAACTTTTATATACAATATGTGCAATGCATTCTTTTTCACATTTCAGTCCATTATATACATAAAACCCTTTACACGTTTGGTTTAAAGTTGTACCAGACACACAAAAAGAAATTGAGAACCTAAAAACTTTTTACTACTTTGATGAGAGAAATAAAAATATTTTTCATATCACAGGTTTCAATAGTGACAGTATTGGGAGAATTTTAAGTGTCATTTTCAACAATATCAGATAATGTTAAGACTTCTAAAGCCTTTAACAGAGTTACAGTCAATGGACTAGATGTATATATTTTTTAACTAATAATTTAGAACTTACATATAATGCTTTCCAACTACCCATAATGCAAATGGTTTAAAACAACTTGTTCCAGTCTCTGGTTGCTTCCATGAGATGTCGCTGACCATGGCCTATCCACTCTTCTTGGTTGTCAAATATTCGACCACAAAACCAGCAGCTGAATGATGATGACCGCTCAGTGGAGTCTGAGGTAGTATTCACAACCTGGTACTTATTCCTGCTGGTCTTTTTTAACTTCAGCTTTAAAATAAATCTTTCCCTCGCTGTATTCTCTCTGCGACTATGTCGACCATGAGAAGAGTTGTCGGGTACAGAGTGACTTCTCTTAAAAGGATTGCAGCTCAACTCGGATAGGGCATCTACAGTTCTTTGGGACAAAGCCACCTTCAGGACCTCTCCTTTGTACCTGCCGACTGTTCTCATGATGTTAGTCACCTCAGGGATGTCCACATCTGGGTGATTGAGCACTATAACAGGCTGGTTTCGTCGAGGACATTTAATGAGCTGTGAAGGACAGAAGGGGGACAGTCTCAATGTTCTCTCAACATCCTTAGGTACTGGCTTCCAATTGACAACATCAGGGAAAGCATCCTTCTCTTTATTTTTTTTGCTGGAGTGCCGCTTAGATTTAGCCAAAGGTTCTGAAGGATCTTGAGAATGAGATTTCCTCTTCTTCTTTCTTTTGGCCAACTGATGATTAGATCTTGGTTGAGGGAGGCGGACTCTCTTGAGTTTGTTATTCAAGCCCTCACTGGCACTCTTTTCTCCAGTTTTACCTTGTATGGTAGCGGAAGAGAATTTCTGCAGCTGGGAAACAGTAATTGGTGCATGTATGGAGGCTTGCGATGATCCTGAGGTTTTTATCCCTGTGGAAACAGTCAAATTGGATTGGTTTGATGACAGCAGAACATAAGGCGACTGCAAAGCACCAGTAGCCAGATAGATGGGCTGATTAGCGGCAGCATGTGTTGCTACACTGCTATTCAGTTCTCCACTACCAAAAGGATGGCCCCCATCGGAGAGATTTTTAACTATCTTAAGAAAAACCCTATTGCCTCCGCTGTCATTTGGATGGATTTGACTTGTGGGTTTTCCTTCTGGACTGTTCAGGGATATCCCCGTCTTAGCTGGAGACACATACCTAAGGATAAAAGCTTGGCGGCCAGCTTGTAAAATAGTAGCTTGGTCTTGAGAATTTACTGGTACTGCCAACATAGGCCTCATTGCTTGATTCTGGTGACCTTGGTTGACAGCCTCCCCATTGGGCCTTGCAACAGCTGCCATTACAGGTAGTGGTCTCTGAACCAAGAAACATGTCGGTGCATTCACAGTCCGTTCTCGGGACAGAGACTGGGTTGGACTGGACAAGATCAAAGGTCCTTTTAAAGGTGAACTGTTGACCAGTAAATGGCTGGTACTGTTACTGGAACCCTCCTGTACACAGTTAAGCGCTGGGTTTTCTTCCCCATCTTTAAATAAACCATAACCTGTTTCCTTGCCACCCATAACCCGTGCAGTTTTCCCTATTCTGCCGTTATTCAGAGTGAAAGCCAGTGCTGCTGTCGTCTTACCTGGTCTTTCAGTTCCAGGTTTCAAACAAGAAACATTAATTGGAGGAACAGAAGACCCTGAAATCATCTTAAATCCTGGACTGCTTTGTAGCTCAACAGGCACTGCAGAGTTATTTTCAGCAGTCTGTAGAAAAACCTGTTGCTTACCATCTTTTACATTAAAAGGTTGAAGTATCCTCAAAGTTGTTGTAGCTTGTCTGAATACACCATTGGTCACAGCAGTGCCAATCCTCTCCTTCTCAAGCTGCTGACTAATAATAGCATCAGAATGTTCCTCCAGTATGCGCCCCAAGGCAGCAGCATTACATGAACTTCCTGGTACTTTCTGAATGCAGGAGCCATCAAGACCTTTTTCAGGGACATGGTTTTCATGTTCAGTGGCAGAACCGAAATCATCTATGTTAGTCTCTCTCTCTTCATTAAGGTCAGTGTTATTGCCAAGAAGCAAAGACTGTTTTCCTTCCCGTTGAGAGGTGCTTTTCAGTGTTGCATCCGGCCTACAAGCCAAACCTGGAAAGTTATTCAAACCGTTCGACTCTTCTTCAACAGTGGCAATACATTCATCTACTTCAATTTCACTATCTGGAACTTTTTCCATCAAAGGATCAGAATTCAACAGAAGCTGTTCTGGAATTTCGTCATTGTGACAGTCCTGCACACTAGCCATGGATGAGTCATCTGGTGTCCGGTTGCTATCAGCCAAAGACGCTATTTTAGAACTATTTGGCTCAGGCCCATCAGTCAGAAGCTCTGAATAACTCTGATCTTCAATAGGTAGGGATACATCAGAAGAAAAACTAGAGGTGTCCTTCGAATAGTTGTGAAAACTGAAGACTTTTTCACTGGAAGAATTTAACCCAGAATTACTTTCACTGTCAATGGTAATATTTTCTTCACAATCAGTAGGTGAATGCATTTCTTCTAGAGCTATACATCTCTGTTCTTGTTGAGTAACAGTCGGTTTCAATGCATTAGCAAATGCTGCAAATGAGGTTGCACCTTTTATTTCACTGGCTTCCTCCATACTGGATTTTAATAAAGACTTCTCATTGGCAGGGCCAATATTGGCAGCAGTTGCAGAGACTTCCAATAAAGGGAACTGGTCATTGTTGTTTTTTGCCTCTGAAAATGTCAAAATTCTAGACTCCTCTGTCCGTACAGGATGGGAAGGCTGCTCATCACCATTTTTCTGTACCACACAACTGTTTTCGCTGTTTCTTCTGACAAGAGGGTCTAAGCCCACAAGTGCTGTGCTCTTACTGGAGTCCAAGTTGGAGGAATTCAGTTGGCTGCTGGTTTGTTCTACACCATAAACAGCACAATCAGAACTGTTTACTTCAGTCAGAAGTGTTTCTGATGTGTGCCTATCCATTTCCTTCACTGCAGATGACGACAAACCTGTCTTAGGAGTAGCCTCTTGCTTTCCCGATGGAATAACTTTGAGGACTAAATGCTTTTTTCCATCCACCATCTTAAACCCCATAACTTTTGTAGTGCAATTTGGAGGGATTGAAATTTTATTTTTGACCATGAGCACAGTGAGCCCATTGCTACTGGGGTTCATGAATCCAACATTGGGTGTAACTGGACTATCGAACTTAGACTGTGACAATGAAGGAATGGCTTGGGAAACAAACTGCTGTTCAGTCTTAAGGGCCTTAATCCATTT